TTGCCGAAATACGATGAAAAATTTATTGCATTTTCGTACTATCTAATTTAAGGTAGTACGCGACGAGCAGCTCAATGGTGTCAAGGAGCTCAGTCAGTCACCATCTGCTACGAAACGGCAGTATAACTCATCATTTGGTAATGCCAATTTTTTGAGAAATTTCTGAATTGGAAGAGGGAAAAATTGAAAGCGGAATCTTAATACTGTGGCCAGCATCCGTTCCTCCTCGCTCTCTTCTCTCATCTCGGCTTCCTGCCGCTCCAATTTACACTAGAATCAGCTCAGTCATGCGTTTTTGGATTTAGTTATTGGCGCACCAAATTTAGTCCTTTTGGTCCAGCTTTCCACACTACTTTACACTTCTTGCCCCTTTCAAAAATGCAGTAATTCTGTCAAAGTTGCTCAGTGTCACTCATCCGGAGTTACACAAGCTGCCTTAAAAAATCATCAATAATAATGCCATCAATTTTGCTTTCTTCTCATCTTTCCTCATGGATCGTTTGGCTAGCTTCCGTGATTTTAACTCAAGCGGAATCCAGTAGGACAAAAGGGAAGATTGTTGATTTAAATTTAATGGCATCAACTAGGTTCTTCATTCTTGGGATTATTCAAGCAATCAGAAGTTAACACAAAATTTAGGTTTGCTCGGAAGCTCAGCTCGGGTTAGGGATGTGCAGAAGAGCAGGTACCATTCCTTCATCTCTTTTGTCTGGCTGGCGATTGATAGTTGCTTTTTCTCGAAAACGTGTTACCTTAACTTGATACTTTGTTCCACTGCCGCTTCATCATCATGTTACTTCTCATCGTTGATGTTTAGCTGTCAGCTTTTTATTTTATCCAGTTCTAAGCAGAATGGGATTTTTCATCACCACATTTTTTAATTTTTGTCATCTAGTTATTTTGAAAAATATTAAAATTTGGCAGAGAAAAATGAAAAAATTATTACTGAAAAAACTATTTTGAATAAATATTCAAAACTCGAATACAATTTAAATTATCTATCAATGCGACTTTTAGCAAAGAGAGTAAAAAGTATTCTCATCAGAAGCTTTGGAACTCTTTTTTCGCAATTTTTTGATACGCGGAATACTCATATTAGTAGCTCAGGCGAACATAGTATTCCTGGTATTTTTCAATTGTTGTTATTCAGTGCTTCAAAAGCATTTTGGCCAATTTTGGCTTTGCTATCGCGAATGTTTGTTTAGCTTGCAAGAAACACACTAAAAAGCAGTCCTATGGGAGATATCATTTTTTTTCCAATTTGCTAGCAAACAAAAACAGCCTTAGCAGCCAGTGTTTAAAGGCCCGTTTACTGCTAACACTTGACGAAAGTCGATTTCGATTGCGGTCTGCTGCCTGGCTATTCGATTTATTAAGAAGGAACCGCCGAAGGGCAGTTGCCTTACCCAGGATCCCGTTGAGGTTTCAAACTTTTTAAGAAACCAGTCATTTTTTTACAAGAGAGGACCATCGACAGCTTTATTATCCCAAGTGGCACTGTTCGTTAGGATCAGGTTCCCATGTATTTATCGCCATATTTTTAAATTTTTCCAATAATTCTGAAGTCGGAACTTGTTGCCTGCAGGAACTGACTTTTTCAACTACTACATGGAAACTGATTTTGGAAATTTAGCTTAGACCATTTTAGAGCCTAACACTCGATGGCCTGGACAATCATCTGTTCCTCCGCCTGCTGGTCATATCACAACAATTGCTATCAGCAACATTGGTTCACAAATAAATTCGCCTAATCCGTCATCAATGCTCCCATCGCATAATACTACCAGTGTATGCTTTAGACAATTTTTTTAAATGATTTTTATTGAAAAAACCTTGACAACAGAGGGCTATTTGCCTTGATAGTTTAATCAGTTACGTATTCATAGCGTCATCTTCCAGCTGTGCTGATGGAAACTTTTCCAACTGCTTTGACCAATGCTGCATCGCTTGAAGATGGCAACTAATAAAACTCGGCTCGGCATGAT